GAACACCACCACTCGAGTCTCACATTACCTCAGATAAAATGGGAATCTTGAATTGACTGAACAGGGAGGGTAAGGGAGGCCCCAAGCATATACTCTGGGAGATAATCAACCTATCTTCCATCCATCCTCTTCTAGTAACACAAAGGAAAACTTAGTGATGACCTGGCTTGGTTTTGTTTCATTTCATAGTGCAAATTTCAAAGAGGTGTGGTATGGAATGGTATCACTGGCAGGGCCTTGACATCCAAGGACAGTTTGAAGTTGAGCTTATTTAGATAAGATCAGTATGGAAACCAAGTAGCTAGATGACTTGTACATTAATACCCAGAGCAATACAGCTGACAAACCCACGCAAAGGAATGTGTCACAATATTTAACAATATTTACACAAATCTTGGAGAGAAAAGATATTTTTATGCCTTGAGCGTACACTCTTAGATCTAGGACATTATGATACTGTCTGTAATAAATCTGAAAGATCTGAGGTAAAATTCCTTCAGGAGCTCCAAAAGCAATCATAATTCCGCTCTGCTCAGGGAATTATGTCTAGCTTTTCTTCTGAGCTAGCATGTGTTTTGAATGTGCTAACTCTCCTGATTTTCTAAATCAAGTAACTTTGAATCCTAAATTATTATTCCTGCAGTTAGAAATATTATTAGTAGTACCTTTACTACTCTTATAAACGAGGCTTAGCCTATTGGTGGAGAAAGGCGCTTAGAAATAATCTAGTGCAGCACCCTCATTCAATAGAACAGGAAACCTGAGATTCAGAGAAGTGACAGCCCAAAGTGAGTTAAGTACTGGTAGCATATATGAGACCCAAGTGTGGTGTTCTCTGAAATTCTCAGATAACATAAAACCTTATTTTGGCTATAATTTTAAATCACATAAACTACAACACAGTGCCATGGAGTCGGATCCTACTCATAATGACCCCTCCTTGGGTTTCTGAAGCAGTATCACTACGGACGTAGATTGCCCAACTCGTCGAGTCGGCCCCGACTCATAGCGACCCCTCCTTGTGTTTCCGAGGCAGTATCACTATGGAAGTAGGATTGCCCAACCTTCCTTCCGAGGAGTGGCTGGTGGGTTTGAACCGCCAGCCTTCTGGTGAGCAGTCAAGTGCCTTAGGCACTATGCTACCAGAGCTCCTGGCTGGTATGTAAGTACTATATATGTATATATATAAAATTTAATCCCCACAACAACTCTATACAGTAAGTACAATTATTATCCTCTCTTTACAAATGAAAAAACTGACAAGGTTAAGTTTCATGTCTAAAGGTACACAGGTAGTAAGAAGCAGAGCTGGGAATGCAACCCTGGCAGTCTGATTCCAGAATCCACGCTCTGACCGACTAAACCTCTAGGATCAAAACCTCAGACTCCTGACCTCACCCCGGGCTCTCTCCATTCTAAATAATTATAAGGCTCATCGAAGAGCTAACCACATTGGAAACCCCTAAAAATTTTGTTTTGTTCTAATTAAAACAAACTAAGATTTTTTTTTAAATAATCTTGTAAATTGAACAGTATATCAATGAATTGTTAATTTTATCCTAATAGCATTATAGTTATATAAGAAACTATTCATAATTCTTAGCAATACGTATTAGGTATACAAGAATGAAATTACATGTGCCCTGACACAATCATTTAAAAAAAAAAAAAGCAATAGATAAAGCACATTTGGCAAAATCTTTAAAATTACTGAATCTAGGTGAAGGAATATAAGGGTTCATTATACTATTCTTTTTCTGCATATTTATTTCCAAGGTTTTCAAATAAACTAATGTTGTGTTGTTGTTGTTGTTATGTGCCGTCAAGTCAGATCTGACTCATAGCGACCCCTCCTTGGGTTGCTGAGACAGTATCACTACGGAAGTAGATTGCCCAACCTTCCTTCCGAGGAGTGGCTGTTGGGTTTGAACCACCAGCCTTCCAGTTAGCAGTCAAGTGCCTTACGCACTACACTACCAGAGCTCCCAAATAAACTAATACAAAATTATTTTAAAGGCCCATGAACCTGAGCCTATGAAAAATGAATCTATGAAATAATGAAAAAAGTATGAGTCACTTTCTTATTTTAAAGTTTGCTTGTAGCGATTTTTATTACTCACTGCACTATTTAATTTCATTATGTTTCTGATCTTACTACCATGCACTCAATCAATACCTGAAGCATGGGAAAAGCTAGTTAAATCCATACTGGTTTTTTTTTTTTTTTCAGCCCAATTACAGAACTACTTTGTTAGTTAGCTAATTAAGAATATTTATTGAGCATTTACTATGTTGTAGGCATTGTATTAGGGCTGACCGAAGTCATCAAAGACAGAGCAGAGGAGTATTTCCATCCAAGCATAGATGAAAAGACCATGGGATTCTGAATACTGGCTTCAGTTCTTCTCTGCCTCCTGTGAGGATCAGGATTACCTTCTTAAATCCCCACAACAAAGCCAGACCAGCACATATGTGGCAGGTGCACCTGCTTTGTGTGACTTCCTGGCAAACACAAGAGCAGCAAGAGGAAGCAGGCAGTGGCAAACTATCTGACAGGAGGTGAGGCAGTGAGGCCTATGGGTAGTATTTAGTATCTTTTAGTATCTGTAAGCTACAGATCACAAATTCCTTCTTCTGCAATGCAGAACCACTGCAATGCAATTCTCATTTTACATTCAGCCTGGCCCACTAGGCCCACTGGCCTTCCAGCATTTTGTATTTGTTTAAGCACAGGCTTCATCAGACACATGACCATATACAGACAGAACTAAGAAGTTGAGACACAAGCCAGGCATCTGGCTATTCATCCTTCAGGCTATCATAGATGCCACAGTGATTTTTATGATAGTGTCCCAGGAAAACAGACATACTATTAAAATGTCATGAGGCAACATAGTAGAAGTATGTCACATGTGGTAATGGACATTAGGTCATTATCAGTAGGCTATGCTCTGACAGGAAGGGCAAATATTCAAGGACTATTGCACATCAGTAATTAGCAGTCTATGCCTATGGTGACATTTCTGTGCTCAATCTAATGGCTTAATTAACCAGTGCCTATCTTCAGTCAAGGAGCTTTGGTGGTGCAGTGGTTAAAGCTCGGCTGCTAACCAAAAGATCAGTGGTCCAAACCCACCAATGCTCCGCAGGAGAAAGACGTGGAAGTCTGCTCCCCTAAAGATCAGAGTCTTGGAAACCCTATGGGGCAGTTCTACTCTGTCCTAGAGGGTTGCTATGATTCCACGGCAATAGGTTTGGGTTTGGGATTTGTCTTCGGTCAGGATGCCTTAGCACTTTGGAAATCATGACAAAGCAACACATATTATTTACTCTCCTTCTGTTCCAAAGAAGACAGCAGCCCCCAGTTAAAAGAACAAACTTTAGTGTGAGAACAGAAATGATGCCACAGATGTTGTGTGCTGTATCCTTAACAAAAAGAAAGATAGAGGAAGTCGTACTTATGCCAAAGCAACATTCAGTTATGGAAGTGATGGCCAGGTTTTAGTTTGTTCCCACTTCTTGCTTCTTCCTTACCATCCATCAGCTAGTCAACTTCAATATAATGAAAAAATAAAATCCCCATTTATCATTGATCAAACTGGATGCTAGAATAACAGTTTAAAAAATCTGAAATGAGCTGGAAGAGCTGACAATCTAGAGAAAAATCAAACTGAGCAAACTGGATACTGAAATTAACGAAGTTCATCTCTGAACTCCACAAACATCATTCATGCAATCCTGTGTCAACCCAGGATGGGCATCCACCTGCCACAAAAAAGGTACCTCAGCACTAAGCGGTCACCAGATGCCCCTGCAATCCCCCCTACACAGAGCCACAAAGCCAAGAGAATCAATTCCAAGATCCATTTTCTTTCACTGTTCCAACAAACAACACAAGTCACCCACCCACTAACAAGCCCCTTTCAAGAAAACAAATGTCTGCAACAATGCAAGGAGCTGTTAAAAGTTTCCAGCTGCCCTGGAGAGCACGAGGATGTGGAAAAGTCGCTCAGAAGTCCCAGCTCCACTCCCCGCACAATCCCAGCGAACCCAATGCACTGCAATTCCAAATACTGCGATTCCAAATATAGCAGGTCCAGCCTTGGCCGTGGAAAGTGGATTTAAAACCTTTTCTTCCCATCCAACTCACAGGAGAAAGTTTTATATATATATATATATATATATATATATATATATATATATATATATACACACACACACACACACACACACACATATATATATATCTTCCTTACACCCAGAGGTGTATGCTCCAAAGACTTTCTGTCACGACGTGGTTAATTTGAAGGATGCTTGCTTCAAATCCCCAAACGTAACAGTTATTTACACCAGTGCTGGCTGAAATTGCCAAGGGTTCCGATCAGACCCCCTAACCTCCTTCACAAGAGGAGGCCAACATTCAGGTTGCCAGTTTGGGGTGGGAGGAATGTCCAATCCTCTCCCCCCCCCCCCCCCGAGTAAGACCACCCAAACGGTCCTCAGAGCGTTTTCCCAGCCTCCCAGGCAGGCGGAAAGGACGAGGAAGCCCCGCCTCTAATTCCTCCCCACCCTCCTCCAAGGCCACAGGTGCCAAGCCCTTCCCGAATTGGAGGGAAGGAAGCTGTGGAGGGATGAGTTGAAAGAAGAGTAAATTGCCCAACTGACAGAGTGAGGTAAATTGAAAGGAGATGGCTGTCTCACTTCCAGGAAATTTACCAAGATCAGGAAAAAAGGGCTGCAGAGGTAAGAGGATTCCCAGACTCAAGGTGGGAGTCTGGGAGTTGCTGGCCCTACAGCACTTTCCCATTCATCCAGTCCAATGCTTCCCCTACCCCCACCCAACCTTTAATCTTGAAAACCCAGGAGCGACCGCTCCGGTGGAGGAGGTGGAGGAGGGGACAACGTGGAGACTCCAGGGGATGCGCTGCGCGGACGCCCAGCCCCCAGGGCTACCTGCGCTCACCTCTCTCCCTCCTCCCTGCTCTTTCTCACTTACTCACCAGAAGCACAGAGCCGCGCACCACCTCTGACACGCTCTGCCGCAGCTCCGCCGCCGTGCCGGGCTTACTCAGCGCCCGGGTAAACTTCCGAGTCTCGGCCGAGGCGGGGAGCAGCGGCGGCTGCGACATCCTAGCTGCCGCCACCGCCTCCTCCTGCTCCTGCGAGGGGGTTAGGTCACACCGCCGCCAGGTGCACCCTCCGCAGCCAGCTGGGTCCACCAGCGGCTCTCGGCTTAGCAGCCTACTCTCCCCAGCCGCTCGCTGCGCGTTTAGGCGGCGCTGCCCGGGCCGCGCCCTCCGTGCTGCTGTCAGGGCCTGCGACTCCCCCTTCAGCGTCCGCAGTCCCCCGCGCTCAGAGCAGCTCCCGGGCTCACTCCAGGCTACTGTGTGTGCGGTGGCGGCGACAGCAGCAGCTCCCCCATGCCACCAGCCTCCCTCCGGCAGCTTGCGGGGCCGCCTCCTCGGGGCGGGGTGTCCGGTGCCGCGCGGGGCGGGGCGGCGGGCAGAGGAGGGGCTGGCTCGGCTGGATGGCGAGCAGGGCAGGTCGGCCTGCCGGCACTGGCACCGGAGAGTAGCTGGCGGCCGCACGTGGAGCAGCGCGCAGCGCTGGACCCCTGCGGAGAAGGTGGGGACGCCGGGGACTCCGCTGCTTCGGACTTCTGTGAGACTCAACTGAAGATCCGAGGTGGGGACCACTCCCGCCGCAGGGAGGGCGCACAATCCCAGGTCTGGAGGGGTTTGAGTCCCGGGAACTAGCGCCTGAGCACCTGAATCCTGGGTTCCCTGCCTATGAAGGCCCTCAGCGTTTATGCGGACTCCAAGATCTTCAGCGAGTTCCTGCCTCGGCGGCAACACGCCCCCTTGTGTGCACAATAAGTCCACGTGAGCAAGCCGGGGGCCTCTTCGAGGACGGAGGTTTTAGGAAATTGGTTTTTGTGCGGCACCGAGAGAGCACTGGGTCCGACGGACGGTGCGTTCTTTCCCGGGAGGTAGCGCGGACCATCGCACGCTCTCGTGGTTGCTTTTCTCGGCCTAACTCTACAATTCCTCGCCCAGAATTTAACGGTGGAGAATCTTCTCAGAGCCAAAGTGAACGTCCCAAAATGAAGGAAGGTGGATGAATGGGCGGGTACTTGCTGGCAAGTAAGCAACGCGTGCTTGAAGGCGAATTGGGGAGCCCCGCAGACCCCAGCCCTGCAAGGATGAGCTGCTGCGTCACACTTGAACGTGATGCAGAACTTCTAAACCTTGTTTACCTTAGAATAGTTATGAAACAAGTTTAAATGACACTGGTGTCTGTGAAACATGTGGCACTGTTTGGCCCGAATTTAGCATGATGCTGCCTCTCATACGATGGGAAAGCGAGACACGGCACCAAGGAAAACGCCGGAGGCGCTGGCCTGCGAGACTAGCAACTGACCCAGAAAGCTGATGGCAGCCACCATTTCTCAGAAACTTCTTCCTTACACAGCCTTCACCATTTTTCCATCCCTTATGGTTCTCTACAGCTTTCTCCTTTTTTTTCTCTCTTTCTTTTCTAAGGAAAGGGAGCAGGCTAACACTGCAGGGACCCCAAGAGAGTGCAATGAAGTGGGATTTTCGAGGTCCCGGCGAGAGCCGCGGCGCATGCTCAGTGGTTTGGGTGGATTCCCGGGGGCGGGAGCCCTTTCTTAAGAGTACCTTCGCTGATTGGCCCAGGTTCTCAGGTCACGCCCATCGCCTGCTGATGGACAGCTCCTTACCTGCCTGGTCGGCCGCTGAAGCGAGGTGATTTCAGAAACTGTTTTCGGGGGAATCCCCGCCACCCCTTAGGCTTCAGTACCCAAAGACCCAGTAGCCGCTGTGGACTGTATGAAGGAGTCTCCCCTTTGAGCCCCACCTCACCAGAAAGGCAAACACTGGCCAAAAGCTTCATCGTAAAGAGATAAGAAAAATGCCACTCTTCTAGTCTAAGAAAGCAAAACACCACCGTTCTGAACTTAGTGGGTAGATTTCGTATATAACACAATTGGCAGTTAATCATGCAGTCAACACTCAATATATACTTGCTGGATTGTTTTCCTAGTGGTTTGGGGCCGCAGGATGTGGCACTAAGTGAGCCTGACTGGAAGATAAATCAAGTAATGTATGATAATAAAAACAATTATACTAACCCATTTCCTCTGGGAAATGCAATGGCCTAGACAATTTCCCAGGCCTTTCACTGTAGGACTGAGTGACCCCAATAGAGTAGGGTGGATGCAAGACAGCCTAATTTTGTCCATTTCTATGGAATTTGGACGGTTTTGGATTGCACAGCCCACGTTTATAGCTTCTCTCTACACTGGGGTATGTAAGGTTAGTTTTTTTCTAGAGTGTTAGATACTAGGTCGAGAGTTATAAATGAATGTTTCCCTTTAAGTTTCAGACTTCTTAAGAAGTTCCAGAAACACAAACCTTTCCAGGGCTGTGTTTCTTTAGCTCTCTAAACCATGTTACATCCAAAGAAGACAAGTTGTACACTTTTTTCTTTTAATTAAAAACAAAAGACAAAAAGATACCCAGAGTTGTGGGGTTCTACTTTCCTTTTTCTTTCTCCCCCCCCCCTTTTTTTTAATTGAAATTTAAATTTTAAAAGCTATATGAATAAAGGTAAGAGCACATACCTGGAAAGTGGAGATTTCTCCCAACCTTCTCGTAATGTTATCCATGTCTCTCCCACTCCTAAATTCTGTAGCTGCTTGCTGAATCATTATATTCTAGAATTGGCAGATTTTCATTTAGGAAGCAAGGGATGAAACACAATATTAGTAGTCACTGACAGAGAGCAAGGCATAGAAATAGGAACACAGCCCAGGAAGGTGGATTTACCCAGCAAACCAGAGTTGAGCCTCTTCTTCCTGGTAAAGAGTTACAGATAACAAATGGCACATTTCTCCTTGTATGAGCATAAACTTGGTCCTTACCAAAGGCTATTTAAAAAATCTCCATCAAAGTACCCTAGAATTGTAGTTCTCACACCTTTTTTAGAACGAAGAGAATCTGTTCTTGGTGAGGGTACTGCTTGGGATGAGGCTGACCTCTGGTTAAGCAGGATGAATAGTGTTTAAGGTGCAGTGGAAGACACAAGGTGTGGTTAAATACACATGGTAACTGCCTTTATTTTTCCAAAGCTATAGGAAGAAAGCTTTCCTTTCTGTTGAGGATGATAATAAGTAATAGAGATCAAATATAATTATAGCCAGTTTTGTAAATTTGCATATATAGTTATAATTCAAACATTACTCATATTTTAATGATAACATCTTACTACATCATTTCCTTGTTAGATTTGCTTTAGGATTTGTATCTTAATGAAATAATTAGTTTAAAATCTTTTCCAGATATATTGTAAAAGATCCTATTTGTTTTTAGCAAATAAAAAGTAAGCCCTAAAAAGTAATCACTCCTTTGGTGTGGAAGGCCCAAGGAAGTGGGGAATGCGGTTTCTCCTTTATTTTATGGTTATGTTGATTGTATTTATTTTCAATAAGTGTTTATTACTTTTGTACTTCATTTTCTAAATGTTTCTTATAATGCTTGTTTTCTAAAATTGATCAGTCAATTCTTACATGAGCTATGAGTTTATTAGCTCAGAAGTAGGCTTTGGTGAGTTCCACTGACTAACATAAACAGTAGACACAACCATTCAAAGAAGAACATCTGGGACAATGGTAAACAATCAATTTAACACTAAGTTTACAGATAGCATTTAGGATTTTAACGTTCCAAAAACCCATTGCCATCGAATCAATTGCAAGTTATAGTGACCCAACACGGCAGAGTAGAACTGGCCATAGAGTTTCCAAGGCTATAATCTTTATATAAGCAGACTGCCACATTTCTAGGGAAATGGTGCTTAGGAAAACTGGATTTTAGCATCCATGCCTCCTACTATACACAAACAATTCAAAGTGGATCAAGGACCTAAATATGAAAACTAAAACAAAAAAATTCTTAGAATAAAATATAGGGGTATGACTGAGGGGCCTACTTTTTAAGATAGATTATCAGATAGGACAGGAGCTCTGGTAGCATAGTGCCTAAGGCACTTGCCTGCTAACCAGACGGCTGGCGGTTCAAACCCACCAGCCACTCCTCGGAAGGAAGGTTGGGCAATCCTACTTCCATAGTGATACTGCCTCGGAAACCCAAGGAGGGGTCGCTATGAGTTGGGGCCGACTCGACGGCAAACAACAACAACAACAACATCAGATAGGACAACAAAAGCACAAGTAGCAAAAGACAAAATAGATAAATGAGACCTCATCAAAATTAAAGACAACAACTTAATCAAACAACTTAATCAAAAAGTTAAATGACAACTACAAAGTGGGAGAAAATTTTTAGGAACCATGTATTTAATATGGGAGCTCTGGTGCCATAGTGCCCAAGGCATTTTGACTGCTAACCAGAAGGCCCGCAGTTCAATCAAACCCACCAGCCTCTCCTTGGATGGAGGATTGGGCAATCTACTTCCATAGAGATACCGCCTCAGAAACCCAAGGAGGAGTCGCTATGAGTCACAATCGACTCGACGGCAGTGAGTTTAGTGTATTTAATATCCAAAATACATTTTTAAAAACTTCTATAACTTAACAAAAAGACAACTCAATCAAAAAATAGACAACGGACTTGAACAGGTATTTCACCAAGAAGGATATTCAAGTAGTTGTCACGTACATGAAAGATGCTCAGTGTCATTAGTCATTTCCAAAAACCAGTTACTGCCAAGTTGATTCTGACCCATAGCAATCCTATAGAACAGATTAGAACCTGACCCATAGGGTTTCCAAGGCTGTAAATCTTTACAGAAGCAGACTGCCACATCTCTCCTGCAGTGACTAGTAGGTTCCAACTGTCCACTTTTCAGTTAGCAGCTGAGTGCTTAACCACTGCACCACTGGGGCTCTTTCAGTAGTCATTCCAAATCAAAAACGCCATTGCCTATCAAGTTGCTTCCAACTCATAGTGACCTTATAGGACAGAGCAGAACTGCCCTATAAAGTTTCCAAAGCTGTAATATACAGAAGCAGACTGCCACATCTTTCTCCCACAAGGCTACTGGTGTGTTCAAACCATCAACCTTTTGGTTAGCAGCTGGGCACTTT